CATAAACATACACTATACAAAATCAATCAAAAAGGGGGCATGCCACTTTGCGTACTCACATACTGCATATGTCCTGTAGTGGTAACGCATTAAACAATGTCTCCAGTCCAATTTTGATTTTTAAAATAACCACCTGCCTGTTAGGAGTTGCTGACCCTTTTACTCCCAAGGTTTAAGCAATGACAGAGGTTACCCCAAATTTCAGAACGAGAGGAAAATTTTAAATAGGGATGGTGAGCCAAAGTTCTCAAAATGAAGCAACCAGTATAGAAACAAATGGAATTGACAGCAATTTTCCAAATATCCATGGTTATTGCTACACTTAGAAAACGTTTTCTACATTCTTCCTGCAGGCAGTCTCTCTCTTCGAAAGATGTGACTTGAAATACCCTTCAATCTCACTGTAGACTGGAAAGAATGTCTCCACTGCGTCTGAATTCTATTAATGGTATTACTCCTAGGTGGGAGATGATGTTTGGAGCTGATTATGGACCCATATCTCCGGCACCTGCTGACACAGGTGGGTTCGCTATAAATTCCAATTTTTGACCAAATGTATGTGCTAAAAATATTACCCCTTAAAAAATATTGTATTCTTTTCATTCCATCCCATTACCAAGTGGGATTTGATAAGGTTTCAAGAAGACATTTATTCTTTCATCTGGTAGGGTTGAAGAGGCAGATTCCAGAAATATTTATTACATAAGCTGAAACGATCAGCGGGCAGCATCTGTTTACTTACTACAAGGTGGCATGGTTTGTGAAGTTGTCACAAATTAACAACCATAGGTATAGCACAGTTGGTGTCTTTGGAAGAGGGGATGGGTCAGACTGCTTCTTTGTCTCCTCTTATTTAGCATTCTAGCACTATTCTTCAAGTGTCCCACCCCACCCCAGCCTTTCAGGATTCCCTGAAGCTCTGTAAGTATTGCTGATGCCCTCTACTTGGATAGTAGTAGATTTACACCTTTATTTTTTATTTTTTTTTGACATTCTTTATTTGTATGTAGTAAGGTTACAATACAGGTCAAATCATATCAAAAGACACGGTATAACAGGTTTCGTAAGGCCCCTAAACCTTATGCCCAACAATATTTGTAGGGTTTTATTCCTAGGTTTCCCCCCCTCTCCACCCTCCCCCGCCGTATTAGCTCCCTCCCCCCCACCAACCCCCCCCATCCCCACCAGTCTTGATCAGGCCTCATTTCTCCGTTTCTTAGGCCTAGTGATCTTAGTAGACTTTTATGTTGGACCTGCCTTTTAGAGGGGAACACCATTCCCCGACCAACCCCGAGCCTATTTGCCTTATAGAGTGGGGTCCGCCGGGACCGCTGTGGCTTGCCTTTCGTCCGGCGTTTAGCAAGTGTTCCACCATGTGCGTGGGCATATATTGTAGTTGGCGAGGTGCAGGACCTTGTTTGGCTTGCAGCGTGGGAGTGAAGCTCCTCTGGCTCGCGCAGGGGGTGGTGGTCCCCCTGGGTCCAGATGCGGTCCCCGCGAGCCCCCCCTCGGTGGTATTCTGTGTCGTTCGGGTGTAATGCCCGGGGTCCGGCACCCCCCCCCTCCGATGAGTTGTTAATTTAACCGTGGCCGGGCTGTCTCCGGCCTGCCTGCTATCTGTGGCTGTCATGTGTTTACTCCAGTCAAGGTCCCCTTTCCTCCCCTGTCGGTCACCTTCGCTTCGTCGTTGAGGCATGTGGAGAGAGAGAGAGAGAAAGAGTGAGAGAGAGTGAGAGAAGAAGAAGAGAGAAAAAAAAAGGGAAAAAGGAGGGGGGGGGGAGGGGGGGGTCCCGCGCGGCCGCAATCCAGCCTCCTCCCACGCTACTCCGCCTCCTCGTCTGGCTCAGACGGTCCGCCCTCGGCCGCCCCCACCTCCGGTCCGAGCTGTAGGAGATCCACGGTGTCCACAGGCGAGTGCAGCGGTCTTGCGTGCCCCTGAGTTCTGCCGTAAGAATTTCCATGTTATAAAGTTCATCGACTTTTTCTACCCACTGAGTAATGTTTGGGACAACTGGCGATTTCCATCTGGCGGGGATGAGGCTTTTGGCTGCGTTAAGAAAGTGTCTGATAAGGGTTTTCTTGTAACGCCCCAGGGGTATCTGAGTGTGGTTTAAAAGCATAGGGAGGGGCTCCATGGGGATGTCTTCCCCCAGGATGTCCACCACTTTGTCATGGATCTGTTGCCAGAAGGGGGCTATCCGAGGGCAAGACCACCACAGGTGTAATGCCGTCCCTTCGGCGATGTCACATCTCCAACACTTGTTGTCGGGGGTGACCCCCATGGCATGGAGTCGTGCGGGGGTCCGGTACCAGTGCGTCAATAGTTTATAATTAAGTTCCTGCATTTTAGAACTAAGTATCCCCTGGTGGGACAGAACGTGTATTTGCTCCCATTGTGGTTCCGTTAAGGTGATGCCTGTGGCTTGTTCCCACTTTGAGTGGAAGTGTGCCGGGGGACCCGCATCGGCACCCAGGAGCATGGCATATAGGGTCGATATCCCACGTGTCAGGTGCGATCCCCCTTCACATAGCGTTTCAAAGTGTGTGAGGTCTCGGTGGATCAGGTGTTTCCCCTGAAGTGTGACATAGTACCGGCGCATCTGGTGGTACCTAAATCGTAAGATCCCTGTCTCCCTACTCTGGCCCAGCATGTCTTCCTGCTGCCTTAGGGCTTTATTAGCACACCATGCCCGAAGGTATTGTTTCGTCCCCTCCCCCAGTCCCTCAATATCCCCCTGTGTCAGGCCTCCCGCCAGGTCTGGGTTGTGTATCACAGGTGTCAGGGGGGCCGGGTTCGTGGTGAGCTGCAGCTTGAAACGGATGGTTGTCCATGTTCTCAGTGTCGCGCCTATGAATGGGTGGTTCCGCAGGAAACCATCGCATGTCGGGTTTTGTATCCATACCATCGATGGATATACGCCCCCTGGCCTGAAGCCGCTCCATATGGACCCATTGTTTGTCCGAGTCCAGGACATGCCATTCTATAATTCGTAAGAGGTGTGTCGCCTGGTAGTAACCGAGTAGGGACAGTAGGGCTGTTCCACCACGATGTCTCGGGAGTATCAGTTGTGTCTTTCTTACCCTCGGCGGTCCCTTCGCCCAGACGAATCGCAGTATAGCCGAGCCCAAGGTGTTGAAGTATGTTCGCGGGATCGCGATCGGAATGGCCTGGAAAAGATACAGCAAGCGTGACAGATTCATCTTTATTGTGTTGATCCTCCCAAACCACGACACGCATAGGCGTCCTCATCTGAGCAAGTCCGCACGGAGCGTTTGGAGAATCGGGAGAAAGTTTTCTTGATAGAGTTTCGTCAGGTCTCTAGTTAACCAGATCCCGAGATATTTTATGCGCTGGTGGCACCATTTAAAGGGGAATTCTCCTGTCAGCCGTTCGACCAACTCGGGGGGTATAGAGATGGGGAGGGCCTCTGACTTGTCCGCGTTCAATTTGAAGTTAGAGATCCGTCCGAACCGCTCAAAGGCCGCCAACAGGTTGGGCAAGGTGATCAAAGGGTTGCTCACGAAGAAAAGGAGGTCGTCCGCGTAGGCCGCCACCTTGTGCGTGTCGTCCCCCAGGGTGACCCCCGCAATGCCCCCGTCCCGTCTGACCGCCTCAAGAAATGGCTCCAGAGAGAGGGCAAACAGGAGGGGGGGAAAGCGGACATCCCTGGCGCGTCCCGTTACGTATCCGAATCGGTGTGGACAGGACCCCATTAATGCGTAGTTGAGCAGTCGGTTCCGCATATAGCGCGGAGATCCACTGCAGTATATTCGGTCCGAACCCCATTGCCTTGAGCGTTTCGAGGAGGTATCGCCAGTCCACCTGGTCGAAGGCCTTCTCCGCGTCAGTGGAGAGGAGCAGGCCCCCGACCGGCGAGTTCCGTTGCATGTGCATGATGTTTAGCGCTCTGATTGTGTTATCTTTGGCTTCTCGACCGGGTATGAATCCGGTCTGGTCCGGGTGGATCAAGGATGGGACTATGCGGCCCACGCGCGCCGCCAGGACCTTCGTAAACAGCTTGAGGTCTGCGTTTAGTAGAGAAATGGGTCTGTAGCTCGCACAGGCCGCCGGGTCTCTTCCCTCTTTCGGGATAACCGCGATCGTTGCCAGTAGGGTGTCCCCCGGTAGGCGTGCCCCCTCAAGGAGAGAGTTCATGCCCGCCAGCAATTCTGGTAGGAGGACATCCCCAAAGGCCTTGAGGTATCTGGCGGGGAGGCCGTCCGGTCCCGGGGCTTTGTTAAGTTGTGTGTTCTTCAGGGCTGCCGCCAGTTCCTCGATCGTAATGGGGGCATCAAGGTCTTCCCTTTGTTCTTGCGTGAGAGTCCGGTGTACGTGGTTTTCCAGGTACTCCCTCGTCAGTCTCGCCGTCCTTTCCCGGCCCGTGCTTGTCTCATCTTTCTGGATATCGTATAGGCCGGTGTAGAAGTTCCGGAATTCCTCGACTATTTTGTCTGGTACCTGCGTGAGGGCGCCGCTCTTTGTCCGCAGCTTAGTGATCTGGTACACGCGGCGTTGTTGTCTCAGCATTCTGGCTAGCATACGACCGCATTTGTTGGAGCGTTCATAGTAATAGCGATGGGCTTTTTTCATCGTGTAGGCGAGGTTTTTCGTGAGCAGATGTTGTAGGTCTCGGCGGGCCTCTCGGAGCGCATGGTACGCCTCTTCCGTCGGTGCGGCTTTGTGGTCTTGTTCTAAGCTGGCGACTTTCGTATATAGCTCTTGTAGCTGCCTACTGTGTTCTTTCTTCCGCGTTGTACATACCTTGATGAAATGTCCCCGAATGACGCACTTATGGGCCTCCCACCGAATCATTGGGGAGGTGTCAGACGGATCGTTCTCATTGAAGTAATGACGGAGCGCTGTCGTAGCATCCGCTATGGTGACCGGGTCGCTAAGTAGTTGTTCATTCAGTTTCCATTGGCGTCTTATGGGTTTATGCAGAGGCGAGGTCAGCTGGGCCAGTACCGGCGAGTGGTCCGACCAAGCGTCCAGTAGGATTTCACATTTTTGTAATAGATTCAGGTATTCTTGTGCAATAAAGACATAGTCTAAGCGGCTGTAGCCGCGGTGCACCGGGGAGAAGTATGTAAAATCCTTGGCCTCTGGGTGCATGACTCTCCAGCAATCCGCAAGGCCAGCCGTTCTGAGTGCCAATTGTGCCGCTTTGATGCTTGCGTCCGGCAGCGAGCACCGTCCCCGGGAGGTGTCCGTCCGGTATGTTGAGGTCCCCGGTTAGAATTAGGAGCCCCTCCCTGAAGTGTTCCAGCGATTTTAGGGTTCTGGTGAGAAAACTGTGTTGTCGGGTGTTGGGCGCATATATGGAGGCAAAGGTATAGCGCCTGTCTGCAATGGAGCCCTTGAGGAAGATGTAGCGTCCCAGTGGGTCGGCCTTGATCTCCGCACACACGAAGGGGACATGCGCGGCGAAGAGAATGGCCACTCCTGCCTTCTTGGCTTCCCTATGGTTAGCAAAATATCCAGTGGGGAACCGTCGGTCTCGGAGGGCCGGTCCCGTCTGTCCTGGGAAGTGTGTCTCCTGGATGAAGGCCACAGAGATTCTATTGGACCAAAGTGCCCGTAGTAAATGTGATCTCCGTTCCGGCAGGTTCAGGCCCCGGACGTTGTTGGACCAGATGCGCAGAGGAGCCGGGGCGAACCCCTCTCGGCCCCGGGAGGTCATGAGAGCTGGTGCCGCCGCGCAGGGGCGGGGGGCGAGGTGTCAGGGGCGGGAAAAAAGAAGGGAAAAAAAAAAGGGGGGGGAGGTGGTCGTAGGTAGAGGGTCGTCAGTAGACCTGTTATAGAATAACAGAAAGAGTTAAACAAGGTGAGAACTATGTACAGTGTCAGACTCAGCTGTCTAGGTCGGTGAGTCAGTAAGGGGTGGACTGTCCCACGTAAATATGTCCCCCCTTGTCGCTCCCCCCTAGTGTGTTATACAGTGTGTCTGTGGGTACGTGAGCGTCCGTAGGCGCAGGACTGTGAAGGTGGGTCTAAGAGTCGTCACTGTCAGCTCCCCCTTAGCCCGTGCTGTCCCGCAGTAGTCCTCCTCTTTCCGGAGGCTATACCTCGGTGCCTGGTCATGCCCCTGTCCCATCCCCCAGGTGGACCCCCCCAGGGTGGCAGTGCAATTGATCTCCGCGTATCGCGGCTGCCGTTTCCAGTGTACCGTGGCAGCCCAGCTACCCAAGCAGACCCTATGCCCCTCTCGCCTCTGGCAGACTTTACTCGTTTGGCGTCCCGCCCCCCCCCATCCCCGTGACCCCAGGCCACCGCTCCGGTGCGGGCTAAAGGCCCTTCTCCCCCTGTCTCTTTGCTTTCCTTCCCCGTCTCGCCCCTGGCTCGGGGTGTGTGCTCTATGGGCTGGTGTTGAGTGGGCTCGGTAGTGCAGGGGCCATCCCTCCTCACATCCCCGTGGAGGACATTTACTCGTCTCCCTCACGTCTCGCATGGGTGCAGTGGGGAGCTGCGGGGCTTCCCGCCTCCCCTCCAACCCAGCATGGGGGGGCAGGTTGCTAAGTGTCCCGAGAGAAATGCAGGTCCGCTCCGTGCTCTCCCCTCCCCCCACCTCATAGCCATCAGTCCCCCAGGACCTTGCCCATGTCCTCCCCCACTTCCAGGGTGCAGTCCCCGATTCCCTCCCCCAGTGCCCTCCTAAAGCCCAGTGAGCCCCCTACGACTCCTTGAGCCTAAACTTTACCAGTGTAGCAAGTCCAGGGGCAAAATGGCGGGCCAGTCCCAACTCCAGGAGCGGCAGTCCGGGCCCTGGCAGGGGAAGAAGCGACACCCCATGTCCATGAACTCCCTTTCAGGTCGGGGTGAGCCGCGACTTGTGAGGTGCCTACGCCTCCCACCCCACCTGGCTAACCTACTCCCTCTATGGGCAGGTGCAGACCCGTATCCCCCCCAGTACCTTGCGGCCCGGCTGATGCCAGGCCGCGAGTGCTCCTCTCCTCACTCCTCCACGCCTCTCGGGCCTCCCAGCATCCTCTGTGCCCGCTCCCTTCTCCTCGGGGGCGACGGTGGGCGCTCTTCCTCCGCCACTTCGTGCAGCTGTGCGAGCGGTGTCTCCAGAAGCCAATTCCTGATGCGGATAGGTGGTAGGCGCAAGGCTCTTAAGGCTCGGGGCACATCTTCTGGCCCTTGGATCCAGGCATTCCCCTGCCTAATCTGGAGGCTGAAGGGGAATCCCCACCGGTAGGCTATTCCCTTCTCCCGCAGGGTCGTCGTTAAGGGCCTGAGAGCCCGTCTGGCGTCCAGGGTGAGGCCGGACAGGTCCTGGTATAGGGCCACGCTTGCTCCCCGGAAGGGTATATCCGCCATTCCTCGGGCAGCTGTCATGAGGCGTTCCTTAAGGCTGTAGTCATGGAGGCAGCACAGGACGTCTCGCGGCCTGCCATCAGGCCTCTGCGGCCCCAGGGACCTATGTGCCCGGTCCAGCTTGATCACCGCCGGGCATTCCTCTCCAAGGATCTGCCGGAAAAGGGCCTGCAGCGTGTCTTGTAGTGGCGCTGTGTCCGGTTCGGGTAGCCCCCGAATCCGGATATTTTGACGTCTGCTGCGGTTCTCTAAATCTTCAACTTGGCGCCGAAGAGAGAGGAGCATGTTCCCCTGACGCGTGGTAGCGAGTTCAGCCGCTTGGTGCTGCGCGCGGCTTGCTTGGGCCTCCGTTTCCAGTGCCTCCACTCTTACTTCCACTGATGAGAGATCCTTCCTCAGGGCTGCAACTTCCTCTTTGATGGCTGCCCGAAGTTCTCTCAGTAGCCCCCCTGTATCTGCCTTGGTGAGCATCTGTGCGGAGATCATTGCCAGCTCCTGTTTAATCAGAGCGAGTGTGTCATCCTGCGTGCCGTCCAGGGTGGGCTCTCCCGCGCTTTCACTGCCTGGGGAGCCGGGCGCCATGTTGTCAGGCGGTCGGCTGCAGCTTAGTGTGCTCGGAGTGCACACGAACTCATCAAGCGTCCCGGTCGGGCGGTGCGGGGTACCCCCCAGGGTGTGGGGCTTCTTGTTCCGGACCATGTTTGTCGGGGTAAGTGCCGGTTTTCGCGTGTTTTAGGGGCCAGGGGGAGCGGAGCTCAGGAATTAGGCGTCCTGTCGCATGCTTGGCTCGGCCACGCCCCGATTTACACCTTTATTGTATAATTATGCATTTCCCAAGAGATGCCGTGCATCAGAAAGGGATTGCTGACATTTGGCACCTCCTTGAAAGGGATGGAGTGGTTTCTATGGTACACCTGGTGTATCAGAATAGTGTTCTGGCCTCTGAACTCTTCCAGGCTACCCAGCGTATCCATTTTGCATGTTCCTTTTTAAGAACCTATCATGAGGGCGAGACTTCCCTCAATGGAAACAACTGCCGAGTTCAATATAAAAGATCAGGACTGATATATCTCTTATACTTCACATTTTACTTCTGTTTCATACTATGACCGACCTGACCAAGGTATCTCATCAACATTGATCCAGGAAAATTGTTAAAAAGTTTGACCAATTGTTACATCCACTCCTGTAGATTGTCCAAAATTACATCTGAAGTGGTTTCTGCTTGTTTTAGGGGATGCGGCTATAAGGGAATCTATTTGCGTGTCTGATTGATTTGACCTCAGGTCAAACCAATACGGGACAATGTCTTTGGGAGGCTCTTTCGATGTCTTGAGATTACCATCTCCTTAGATCCATGTGTTGCACCTCTAAACAGGGACAATACACAGATCTCTTCCACTTGTTTTGCACACAAGCTTATTTTTAGGGTGTGTGCTGCCTTAAGACAGTGCATCGCTAGGTCCCGCAAGGTGGCCCCCGCCTACCGTTGCTCAGATAGACGCTAAGATATGGTACCTGATTATAATGGAAAAGCTCACATCTGCTATTAATAAAACTACAGAACACTTTTAGAAAATATGGTCTTCGTGGATGGAGATGTTTTCTCCTCAAGGTCTGAATTTCGGTCCCTCGTATAGCCTTTCTGGCCGTTTTGCATGACTGCATAAAGGGGCGCGTTCAGTTAGGAATTGCCTCCTGGCGTCACACCCTCTCCTGACTTTCCTCCGTCTCCCCGTTTTTTTCTCTTCTTTCCTATGACCAAATCGATTTATTATTTGGGGGAATTAATGAGAGGCCGTTCATGATAAATGACAAGACGCTTTTTATGCATCGCCCCCAGCGCTATCACCAAGCCCATCGCCCTGCCATACCATTTTAGGCAGCCATGACCCAGGAAGGATCTCTAACAGCCATCTGAGGAGTGGCCAGTGAAGTTATCACTAGGCTGTAATGTAAACACTGCATTTTCTCTGAAATGACAGTGTTTACAGCAAAAAGCCTGAAGGGAATGATTATACTCACCAGAACAAATTCAATAAGCTGTAATTGTTCTGGAGACTATAGTTTCCCTTTAAAACTACAATAAAGGAGTTTAGAAATCAGTCTGTGTAAATAAGACACATTGCATTTTTATAATAATTTATTAGTAAGAACATCCCCACCCCTACAATTCAACTGTCCCTCTGTCTCCATTTTAAATTTACTTTATGAGGAAGACAGCTCAGCCACACCCCCAACAGTCATTGGTTTACTATGGCTAAGGAGATTTATCTAATTGGCTGCTTTACCTGTCAATCAAACCTGCTTCCTTCACCTCCCTCCTCCCCACGTGCTGCTCATCCTACAGCGTGTATGGTGTCACCCACACCCCCATTCGCATTACTTGGTAGCTGCTCCCTCTAGTGGCGGGAAACATGTGACATCCCCTCCCATTCATATGGTCCCTCCCACCTTAACCGTTTCCCCAGCTTCAAACGGTGCCTCGAGCGTTCTACTGTGTCGGTGACGTCACGACCCTCTCTGCCGCTTCCCATTGGCCGAACGGGCTGTCAGTCAGGTGTCTAGGGTTCGGTTGTAGACTCGCGGTACAGGTCTCCCTCCCGTGGGATTCCGAACTTGCTGCTCGCTTGGTCCCGCCCCCTCCCGTGCAAGGCCGATGGCGGAGCCCGGGCACTGAGGGGAAAGTTGTGTCGGATACACGCGGCCGGTCCGGGAGAGGAAGATGACACGAAACGGCCGGGCCGAGACATCCCACGGAAAGTAAGGGGCCCTCCGCCGGTTCATGCTGCCGCTCCGGACGGTGTACTCGGCGGGAGTTTTGTGTTCCCGGTAACTTCCTGCCCCCTTACCCCCCCGGCTGTGGTGAGGGCGCCAAGCACACGATCAGCCCGGGGCCCTGCCATGGCGGCCATCTCGGCGGCGGAGAAGGTGGACGGCTTCACGCGGAAGTCGGTGCGGAAAGCTCAGCGGCAGAAGCGATCGCAGGGATCGTCCCAGTTCCGAGGACAGGGCTCCCTGGTGGAGCTCTCCCCGCTGCCCCAGCTCAAAGGTAACGATCACACGGGGGCCAGGAGGGGCCAGGGCGGCTGATACTGGGTGTAATGAATACCGGCCTTAATTCACTGCGGGGGGTGGGGGCGTGTGCTGGGAGTTGGAGTTCTTATTGCTGAGGGTGGACACACAGTGTGATGTGCTGGGAGTTGGAGTGCTTATTGATTGATGGGGGTGGACACATAGTGTGATGTGCTGGGAGTTGGAGTCCCTATTGCTGGGGGTGGACACATAGTGTGATGTGCTGGGAGTTGGAGTCCCTATTGCTGGGGGTGGACACATAGTGTGATGTGCTGGGAGTTGGAGTCCCTATTGCTGGGGGTGGACACATAGTGTGATGTGCTGGGAGTTGGAGTCCCTATTGCTGGGGGTGGACACATAGTGTGATGTGCTGGGAGTTGGAGTCCCTATTGCTGGGGGTGGACACATAGTGTGATGTGCTGGGAGTTGGAGTCCCTATTGCTGGGGGTGGACACATAGTGTGATGTGCTGGGAGTTGGAGTCCCTATTGCTGGGGGTGGACACAT